CCGGCGATGTTTTTCCTTTTAATATTCTGAAAGTAACGTAGGGTTTGTAACTGGTTCGCGAACTTTTATATTATAGTACATTAGTAGAATCAGCGAAGAAGCTGTTTTGCAGCGCCCGTAATAAAGTTCGTTGAATACCGTATCGATTTTCAAGTAAAGTCAACCCGGCGCCATGCGACCGCGGTCATAAATCTTCTGCTGGAATTTAATGAAATAGTTTTCTCGCTGTTTGCAAGAGGAAAAATTCTCCGCAGTTTTACAACGGAAATTCCGTTTCATCTTCGCCGGACAAGCGTTTCTTGATTCATCCATTGTACAGAATAGGAATGAAATCTTCGATTATTTCGTATTCATTGGTTCAACTTATTCCATTATTGATTTTCTTTAGCATCCGATTGACAATTTATAGGAATTATCAATATTAATTTTGCGACTGCTCAAGCAATTCGGAAGTTCATGAGGAAAATGGAGGTCATTCATGGCGTATTTTAATGGACTTGAAAATTTCTATATTTTTATATTTATAGATTTATAAAATTCTGGACTACATTTCTGTAGAATTTTATTTCTCTACAATATTCAATAGATGATTGCAATAATCTAATTATTGATTGTAATTTAATTTTTACCGCCAAAAATTAACCCGCGAAATTCAAAACTTAGGACAAAATTTTATGCACGAATTTACAAAAGCTAATAGGTTAAAATATCTCGTTAAAAATCAAGATTAAAATAAACCGAAATAATGATTCTGAGTTCAAAATTGCTGTCTGACGAATTACTTCAAATATCAAAATGGCGAAGATATTGTATTAAAAACTGCGTGCACAGCAGTTGTCTCGCCTAAAGTGGGAAAAGAAAAGTATAAGAAGGGTATTATCGGAAAAGCAATTTACGCAGCGTTTGCTTTCTGAATAACAAAGTAAGGGGAAAAGAGACATTGAACAAAAGGGCCCAGGAATATACCGGAGAATCCAATGAAGAAAGTAACTTCTTTACGAGGTCAGTGGATGGTATTTTCACTGATATTTCTGTAAAGGGGAGCTGTTCCTTTATCTCCCTCGAAGTTGCAGAAGCGTCAGCATACGGAGAATAGGTCACTGTAAGTTCCTGACATTTTCCTGGTAAACTAAATTGGGTCGTCCCGTAAATCCTGGGGAATACAGGTCAAACAGTCTTACAGCATTACCTAAGGAAAAACTGCAAGCTGTAGCTTGAAGCGCCGCCAAAACAATTAACGGGATCACTGTTAACCAGCAAACTAAGTTTCAAGATTTTTACAGTTAAAAAATGATCAAAATTAACTTAAGAATTATCGGAAAATTTTATATGGAATTTCATATAGAAAATTTTATTTAAATTTTGCCGTATGCTCCATGTGTCTCTAAATCGATTCTTTCCTATTTAATATACGCTGAGATCCAATTTTCATAGCTATGAAAAATACTACCAAAATACAACTCGCATTAAGAACTAAACAACCATTCTAATATTTGAAAGAGTAATTTTCCTAGAACATGCCATTTACGAAAATACATTCAAAGTACCGCGTACATCACACAGTTTTTTCCTCGACTTCAACATAGCAAGATGGGGAATCGGTGAATCACCGGCGTGCATTTAAATAAACCTTAAACGGGAATTTCTCTGGAGATTGGAAAGATTGCAAGATCTTAAACGAAGGAGAACGTCGCGTTTCCCCTTTAAAGTGTGCACAGCTGAATAGTCGTGCAAGCATCAAAGGGAAATTGCACGCGCAAATCAGAAGATTGCTGCACAGAGAATGAAAGCACGTGATGATGGATGCAAATGGACTCGGTGACACGAGCCCCGTTCAGGAACACACATTTCAGTCGGAGAACGCTCGACAGGGCGTGGCCTTCAGGATCGATACCATAAAAAGCTCACTGCACGTCCACCTTCTTTAATAAAGTGCGCAACTTTTTGCATACACGGATATTAAACGCTTTCGCCAATTTTGTGCAAATTACTTTCGACTCCATGTGGGTGGTAGCTGCACACGTCTCAATGATACCAGATTAACAATCGGTTGGGAAACATTTTTGTTAGGATATTCGATAGCGACATTCGATATTGGAGTATTTATGGATATTCATGTACTATCCTAAGTGGGTCATCCATAAATTAAAAGTATCAGTACCGTGATATTAATCCTTTGATTAGTATGATGGGCGATGGGACGAATTTTTTTTGTCAAGTTTCATAAAATGAAACGGGTTTTTCGTTAGTTATAGCGTTAACAGATGAATTGTTAAATTATGTGTTATCGTTGAGGAGGACCATCAGCATTGCGTAATGGTGGAAGGACACAAAATTTTGAATAAAAAATTGAAAGCTGTTAATTTTTTTTAATAGTCAAGTCAATAATCAATCAATTTAATGATGGAGTCAATGATCAATCAATTTAATGATCAAGTCAGTAATCAACCAATTTAATAATCAAGTCAATGATCAATCAATTTAATGATCAAGTCAAAAATCAATCAGTTTAATGAGCAAGTCAAAAATCAGTCAATTTAATGATCAAGTCAAAAATCAATCAGTTTAATGATCAAGTCAATAATCAATCAATTTAATGATCAAGTCAAAAATCAATCAGTTTAATGATCAAGTCAATAATCAATCAATTTAATGATCAAGTCAATAATCAGTCAATTTAATGATCAAGTCAAAAATCAGTCAATTTAATGATCAAGTCAAAAATCAATCAGTTTAATGATCAAGTCAATAATCAATCAATTTAATGATCAAGTCAATACTCAGTCAATTTAATGATCAAGTAAAAAATCAATCAGTTTAATGATCAAGTCAATAATCAATCAACTTAACGATAAAGTTAATGATCAACTAAAAATACTTGAAAACCTCAATTAAACTATAAAAAATAAATATATCACTTTTAAACTTGAGTGCCTTGTAATTATCTATAAAATGTTTTACTTTTAGACTGAAGATTATATTTAATTTAGAAATGACTTCCAGATGTAGATATCTTCTGATTAACACAAATGGAATATGTGATTAAAACTGACTGAAATTAACATGAATTAAGAACCCTAACTGCAGTTACACTTTTTTGTTACACTAATACAGTATTCGGGTTAATTACTCGATCGATTAAGGGTAAATGAATATTGCCTTTCTCGTGTACCGTATCGTCATAAATTTATGGATCAAATGAATATGAATTGCCGGCACTGAACAATTGCAGATAATTTCTGTAAATTGCCATGTAAGTGAGAGTGAAACTAATTAGAAAACAATTGGACGAAAGTGTATATTATACTACAAGCATCAGTCGCAAATTTAATACGAATTGATTTCAAACCATTCGAATCTTTAATTCGCGCGCTATTAAACAGCAGAATAATTGTCTCTTTAGAACGATTCGAGAGATCTCTTTTAATTTTCACGGTATATAAATTCATCGAGGAGTGTATTAAAATATCGTGTTTATCTTAAAAGCATGAAATGCATCAAAACAAACGGAAGAATAAAGAGAATGTTTGCGAGATGTTTGTACGATGTTTCTTTTTTTCTGAAAGAGGAATTTTGAAACACCAGCTATTCAAAGTCGCCGAAAGCATCGGCGTATTCTTTATTCTACTGTTGACGTAGCGAACATTTGATGATACTTCGCCTGTAGCGTAAACGGGAAAAGAATATGAAGACTTCCGCCTCAGTGATTCTTTTCAAACTTTTACAGCGACACAACTTACGAGAAAAACGAGATATGCATTAAGTTGCCTATCATGGCGAATTTGGAACAAAATGTCGGACGATTTGAAAGAAACTGCAAAATAACATTTATACTACGTTTGAAATTTGATGAAAATTTGACATGAATCTTCTTTTAAAGTTTTTGATATAAGATGTGCAATTCACAAGTGGTTAAACAATTTTAATTCACCATTAAATTATTTAGATATTCGTTACGTTAAGTTCCTGGTTAGGTTAGGTTGACTTACAGTATTCCTACACTGCTTCCATTGCATTTTATTACAAATATTCTGCACAAAATAATACCTTACGAAATTCTATTACTTTACTGAACTCAAATCGACAAATTTCATAATCAAAGAAATTACTGAAAGTATTTCATGTCTTTCGTAATTCGTAACAATGTAATACTTCTACGGAATGAAATTGATATCTCCACACACCAAAGTTTAATCACAGCAATTAGCAGTAATTAAACCGGAAAAGTAATTTCACTGAAGTACGAGACCCCATGTGACCGCAGAATCCGTCCCCGCAAATTAAAAAAGCAAAGCGGACAAAAGCGAATATGAAATTCCCTTATAATATACAGGAGTAAAAATGTCTGTATATCGATTCAGCGTAAATTTACCACGGTGCAATTTTCCGCTAGTCTCTCGGTAAATTGGCGTTAAAATTTCTGGTCTGCCAACCGAGCGAGAATCCTTTCTTTTTATTAGAAACGTACGTTTATACTTTGTAGCGTGAATCGCTTTTCTCGCTGGGTAACTGCGAAGATTCATTTTTTTTGTCTCATACAGAAAACACTAATTAAATAAGTCCAAAAAATGTGGATTAACGTCGTTACGCGTTTGCACGTGCGTTAGGAGCGAATTCATTTTCATTCGAGTAATTACAGAGTGGAACAAAGTCTCACTAAATAGGGAAGGAAATAAAAATTAAAGAGTTCTGTAAAATATAAAGTACATAAAAGAAAATGGAGATAGAAGATACATTATGAGGATTTTGATCAATGTGCAAATTATTCGCTGCTTTCGTGTAAAATTTTAGGTTAGGTTAAGTTTCGTAGAATAATTTTGGAAGTTCGATGTTTACCATATTTTACCAATTTGTTAATACCATATTTTACCAATTATCATTGAGCTGTAGGTATCTGAATGTTAAACAGAGGACTTGTTATAATAATCTTTGTCAGGCGTTCGCAATTATGAGAGTTTTATTTGTAACAAAGAGGTTAAAAGGTCTGTTTCGGTGCGCAGCACGATGCCTTCAGATAGCATGGATGACATCGAATTGAAAAATATTCAGCTTCAATTCCCGGCGCTAAGATACTTGTCCAAAGACGACAGTTCTGTTCGAGAGGAAAGGGTGGAAACTGACAGAGGAAGTTTACTGGTGGCTGTGCAAGGAAATCGAGCGAAACCTGCCATTCTCACTTATCACGACTTAGGCCTTAACTGTGAGTACACTGTTACCTTTATTACACTGTACTTTCCAGAGCAAATCAACTAAATCAATATTTCTTTACTGTCAACTTACAAGATTCAAAATAAATATTTAAACAAACTTAAAAAAATTAAAAATTCTTCAGACAATGATGTTGTATATGAAAAATAAATATGGTCCTGTAAAATTTTGGTTCTATCACTAGTGATTATATCAGACACTCATTGTGAGACATCCTGTATAAAGTTTGTTAAAAATTAAAATACTATTCTGACAGACTTTGAATGGTTTCAATCTAACATATTAAAGAGGGAATGAACATTAATTGTTTGCAGATATATCGAGCTTCCAAGCATTCTTCAATTACATCGACATGAGAGTTTTACTCGAAAACTTCTGCGTCTATCACGTGAACGCACCAGGTCAAGAAGAAGGTGCTCCAACATTACCTGAGGAGTGAGTACACATTTTTTCCAATGAAATTCACATTAATCAACCCGTAAATTTAACTCTATGAATACGGAGAAAACGTTCGTTTTTAATTGCCAGTGCAATCGAAGACTAATAATCATAGCGCTATTAATAGACATTCGTTACTCCCAATATCCATTAACAGATATAATTAATACATCCATTATCATAGCTGTATCGTTAAAATTCTCATTGAAATTATCATAAAAAAGTACCATGAAAAATTATATCGCAAAAGTCGCATGTGAATAAAATTCATTTTTCATTTTACATAATCGATATCAGGACATACAGCATAACGCAATTAAACCTGAATTTTTAATAAAATATAAAGGTAGAAACAAGTACAGGAAAAAATATGCGTCGCTTGACACAAATAGCCGGTTCCCATTGTCGACCTCGAGGAACGCGTTCCCTTGAAGTGCAGTAACGAGCTCGCTAATTAACGCGCAATATGACAAAAACCGATTTACTGAAAGATCCCGTACACGCGCGTATATTTAGAATCTCGTTCAAGAGCACCGTGCACGCGTCTCACTTGACGACAGTGAATTCAATTAGTGCGAATCAATGGCCTAATTAACGTTCTAATTAGTCGAAGCCCCGGCCGTGTCCCGTATGCTCGTTCGCCACGGATGATTCCTTCGAGTCTTAAGAGAGATTCTTTCTTCAACGGACGAGTTCCTTTGTTGCGTTTCGCTTCTATCGCCGTTTGCATTTATACGGGTTCGATCTTATCGGTCGTTGCGCAATTCACCTCTTCGATATTCAATCCTCTCACGAAATCGAAAAACAGTTTCGGATTCGTTCCAGATACGGATTTTAGCTTTTCTGGATTGCAAGTAATCTAGTTGCATTTTTGCTGTGTATGGTGGATAGGTGACCACACCCATGATCTACTGTTTTACTTGTTAAAAGCACATAGGATTTATTGGTCAAAATTTTCAAACGTTAAATTGTTTCAAATTAATGGTTTCATTACTACTTTCAGTGATTGCTCTTCCATTAGTATCTCTTAAATACAGTTCATATTTTGATATATTACTGTACGCACAGGTATTCCTAAGGTCATCAGAAGTATCTCTAAAGTCATAAATAAAAATATCAATACATCTTTCACAAACATATTTAACTTGCTTAAATTAGCAAACTATTAAAAAAACATGCAATGGATAATATTGGGTTGACAATAAAGTTTCCTCTCTATCTACATAAAATGAACGTGATTGATTAATATAGTCGACGTATAAAAATGGAGGATGAACTTGACAGAAAATGGAAGTTAAAAGTCTGAAACTTTCTAAAGGTTAATTCTCGATGTCACGATGGATTAACATGTTTGTAGAAGAATTTAAAAAAAGAACGTAGCACGATAGTTGGCGATCATTTACATCGTTGAATTAGAAGATTGACGGTGCCTACCTACGACATCCGATTAAGCTGACCTCAAACAATCGAGGCTCACCTCGACGGACGCACACGTAGCTAAACAGCGTGTTACAGAATGATTTAGACTGCAATGCAGATTTTCATGCACCGAACATACGAATTGTGTTTCCGTTCGCGTGCCAAACACGTCAAATTTCATGACGAACATCTATTCGAACGCGAATCGATACTTTTTAACGATACTTCGTTACGCGTCCAGTGTTTAATATTTCGAACCACTATAAATTATTGGATTTATTATTTGGTTATTTAGTTTAAATTAAATTTTATATTTGAAGCATAGCAAAATTTGTGGTGGGATATAAATAATATGAATCTTTCGAATTTATCGTTTGGTAAAATATTATTTAGCAGATAGTCAAATTCGTGATGTAATATTATAAATAATTCATCACATATATTTTAGTTGAGTTATATTTTTTACTGTGAAAATTCTGTTACCTCTGTAAAATAGAACAGGTATTAATTGCAAAGGTATTAACTGTAAAATACATATTAATTTTCATCAGTTATTATTACTGTTTGAGAATAAGCTAAAACGTTATATCAGAATATTGCTACCATTCGACCCAATAAATATTCCCGGTATTGTTCATTTTAACGGCACATGGCAGAGCAAAGGGAGTGTCAGAGATATTTTCAGCAGCTTGCTAACGACTCACGATAATCGACACGTTGATGCAAAATTTATAGCGCACAGTTATTATCCTTTGACCTATCGCGTGAGAAACGTAAATTCGTCCCTATGGATATGTCGACAAATATTGGTACACGATAATTGGCAAAGATAATTGGAGAATTGCGTATATCCCGACAATTTGAATGGGAATCGAATATAATAGAGATTTCTTAATATAGAATTTTTACGACAGAATTAGGTCAACCATTAAATTCACGATTTTCATATTTTATCCTGTTAAATTTCTCGCTGAAAACGCCATATTACAATTTTCAGTATCCTATCAATTCGTGTCATTCTCAACCATATTTCAATGTTTTCTTTGTATTCTGATGTGCATAATTTGTTACAAGACTAATCACAAATTTATAATTTGTTCAAGTTCATTTTCATAAGAAACTTAATCAAAATAAATTCATATTTGATACTATCGTAAAAATGGATCACATTTTAACTTTCATCAAGACTCAAGTGACTTTCCAAGTACGTGAAAAGATTGTGAAATGGACCTCATAAATAATAGATAAGAATAGATTAGATTATAGAGTTCTAATATTGTGAACAAAAATAAAGAAGGTATTTGAATCGTGTGTAAAATGACAATACTGTATTTTAGCTATATTTATCCGTCCATGGACGAGCTGGCTGAACAGCTGCTCTTCGTTTTGGGTCATTTTGGCCTGAAATCCGTAATTGGTTTCGGTGTCGGTGCTGGAGGCAATATACTGGCAAGATTTGCACTTGCCCATCCTGAGAAGGTCAATGCCCTGTGCTTGATAAACTGCGTATCGACACAAGCAGGTTGGATCGAGTGGGGTTATCAGAAGCTGAACGTTCGCCACCTGAGATCTCAAGGCATGACTCAAGGTGTTCTCGACTACCTTATGTGGCATCATTTTGGCAGGGTGAGATGACAAACCTTTTACTTATCATTATAATCACAAAAATTTACCATCAAATCAACCCTTATATTTATTCACAACATACCAATCGTTGCAACTACTATTTTTGCATCGATCATAAGTAGTTATAAATTTATTTATAGTAGAATTATCCTCTTTAGATTATTAGAATCAAACTTACACTCTGTTATAACTGAACATGAGGTGCAAATGTATCACACATTTCTGTATTATTATGTATCATATTATTTTAATAGGTAGATTAGTGTCCACCATTTTTGTGCTCACACGTCTATTAATTTACATTTTTAACTAAAATGAAAAACATAGTTAACCTTGCATTTACATAGCGAATAAAAATAATGTAGACAGACCAAACACCTCTTCATGTACACGCTATTGTAGACTGTAACAAAATTTTCTACACATCCTTGCTACATTAATATGAAATTATTTTTGAACCCCCATTTTGACCCATATCTGACCTACCAGTCAACCTTGATTTTCGACAGAAAATAAACGAACCTTTTGATCGAGACAAGTTAGTTAAGCAATGTTCACGCGAAAACGTAGGCCAATAAATTATCGACGACAAAGCCAAGTATGGCGAAGGCTTACACCGTCGAGCGTTTCCATGCAACCAGTAAAATTGGATTAGAGCAGCAATTCTGTCGCTCTTATTATGCAACACGTAGATACCGAAGTAAAGTGTGTACAGTGGAAATATAATGGTTGTTAATGTTTATGGTGTAAATTCGACGAGAAAGAAACGTAATTTTGGAGGGATAAAAGAAACGCGGATCGAGGCGACCTTTTCGCTCCGCTTGTTCATTTCCCTGCTCTTTCTCTTTCAATTTTATTCCATCCAAGACTAACGACGAGCCTTGGCGGTTATTTTTCTTTCACTTTTGTCCAGGGAAATTGGTTCGTAAAACGGGCCAAAGACATTAGTATCCTTGGAATTTTTTCATTGACACACATTACGCTCCACGGAGGAATTTCTAGTTTTCTTAATGTGGATTTAAGCATTTTCTTAATGTGCGTTTAGGAATCTTAATGCGAATTTAAGAATTTTTTTAATGAGAAATTGTTGGAGTAATTGCGACTTTTACTCTTTTTAATTTTCAAGTAGTTTACATTTATAAGTTTGGACATTTAGAAATTTGATAATTTGAAAGTCTAGAAATTTAGAGATAAATTAATTTTATATCTAATTTAAGTTTCATAGTGTTAAATTTTCTGATATTCAAACTTTCACATTTTCACATTTTCAATTTTTTAAATTTTCATTTTCAAAAATTAGGAAATTTGGTCATTTAGATATTCATTTTTAAGTTCTTGAATTTAGAAATTCAGAGAAGTAAAGATTCTAAATTTTTCAAATTTATAAATTCACAAACTTACAATGTTATAAAGTTACACATGTTCAAATGGACAAAATTACACATTTATAAATTTACACACGTGCAAAGTTATAAAGCTACAAAGTTACAGAAATACATATTTATAAAAAATGTACATATTCATAGATTTTTAAAGATATAAAATCAAAGGCATAAATTACGTCTGTACTCGCACTTGACTTCAAGAAATACTATGTGGAAAAACTGTTTCAGGGCACGGAGGAGAGGAATCACGATCTCGTGCAGGTTTACAAGAATTATTTCGAGCGTCGTGTGAATCCAACGAACCTGGCGTTATTCATCGACAGTTATGTTCGTCGTACAGATCTGAACATCACGAGGGAATTAGATCCGACACGTAAGAAGGAAGGTCTTACGCTCGGTGTACCTGTCATGAATATCACAGGTGCTTTGAGCCCGCACGTCGACGACACTGTGACGTTAAATGGACGATTAGACCCAACGAACAGCTCTTGGATGAAGGTACGAGACACTTGCAACATTAATCGATCGCTACGGTAACCTTATATCAAAATCCGTTTAACGCCGTGAAAAGGCTACTCCGTTAAATTATCTTGGAACGAATTTTGTCTATGGAAACTTAATTACATATGGTGGTCCATACTGTTACTCTATGCCCTGGTATTTTTACAAATTATAACGCCTTTGAAATAAAAAGATGTTGAAGGTCCTATTATTATGTCGGTAACTTTCGATCTGGATGGACATATACCACCCTATAAGTCAGCTAATAAAAAGATGTTGGATCTATTATATTTAATGTCGGTTACTTTCAATCTGGATGGACGTATACCACCCTATAAGTCAGCTAATAAAAAGATGTTGGATTTATTATATTTAATGTCGGTTACTTTCAATCTGGATAGAAAGTAGATCACCCTATAAGTCACTTAATATCGTTTAACACATTACTGCGTTTAACACCGTGCTGAGTTTAACATTAAGTTTAAAACTATAGTTTTAAAAGTCTACAATGAAAAAAAGTCTACACAGAGTAACTAATACATGCTTAAGTTCTATTTATTTAATTCACAGATTTCTGATTGCGGAATGGTACTGGAGGAACAGCCGGGCAAAGTAAGCGAGGCCTTCCGACTATTTCTGCAGGGCGAAGGATATGGTAAGTGAGCGCCCTCGCGAACTATGCTTTAGACATTCAATTATCAGAACGTCAAACGATTAATTCTCATCGATCTTCATCGGTATAAACGAATCGTACTTACACACTGCCGTTTCGTGAAAGAGCACGCGTCTACCAACAATCGAAATTCACCCAAATGATTTGTTCTCGTTTTAAATGATTCAATTGGTTTTGAAACATATACGAATGTTCGCGTGCTCTTTTACGCAAACGAAGACCGCGGGTGATGGTGAACACTAGGCTTAAGTTTGTCGATTGCCATATTTGACGAGAATCGGTTCTGGCCTATAAAGAGAAATCGACACCGGAAGGGTGAAAACGAGATACGGTTTGAAAACGCGATCGCAACGAAACGAAGTGACGCTCGTGGGCGACCTTCGAATTTGCCTTCGATCTCGCTAGAAATGCGAATTTCAAACTGCATTAGTTGTAGCGATTAAAGCAACATTCTCCTTGTTTTGTTCCTTTCGATAGAAACGATCGTCGCTACGGACGCTTATTTAGCGTAGGCGTTACTCGTTGTGTAATCATGTCCGTGGTGACCTTGACGTTCGTCAATTATCATTTGTTCTGTACCCTGAATTACTCTGGTCACATCACGAAATGGAATAAAAAGCGGTACCTCCGCTGAACGATGAATGCTGGTCCCGCGACTAATTGAAATTTCTTATTCTTTTTGGCTTCTTCGACACAGAAACACGTTAGCACTTATCACATGACACAACGCTTAACACTATCGCCCAGTTGATATTACAAATTATGGTGTATTTATCGCGCGATTAGAGTATTTCTACGATTACTACACCCTATTATTCGCTGATCTCTTTTTCCTTTTGTTGAATACTGAATTTAATACATACTTGTTTTACGTGGTAGGTATCTACGAATATTAGCCAAGTACGCCCTATTTAAATTTTAATCGTTCCTATCATGGTGATTATCGTTAATTAATTGTTGTTGTTGCGGATCGTCTCTGTTATATGAATAGAGTTCTCATGTTGTACGAATGGCGCGATGCCAAGATGTTGTTAACCCTCGATGCATCGAGGATCGACCGGGTGCGACACTTCAGACCTTTCGATGATCGAATTTCTTTTTAAATAAACCGAAGGAAAACAGAAACGTATCCTCGATACATCGAGACTTAACGACGTCTTCGATCATGTACTTTCCTTGGTTGGAAAGCAGCCTCTGGCTCGACTTGATAAATAAAATGAGGTTTGAAAAAGGATTACGTTGAATTCATCACTTTAGTCTCACCACCATTGCCATTTATTTGAGAGATTTTTTTTGTTCAAACATGATTATCAAAGGCAAATAAGAGAAAAAAATACATGTTCACCGACTTGCGCCTTTATTTCCCACGCGTCTCGGATCGATCGAGTGGTACGTATGAATTAATAGTGCTCACGTTAGTCGATCGTAGTCGATCAAAGTATTGTAGTTATGGCTTTTTGGCTACTTTCTTTTTGCTTCTCAGTTTAGTGCCAGTGCTAAGGATCACGCTGTTCAATAGTTTAGATAGAAATTACGATTTAGTGTCTTGTTATAGTGAGTAGTTCGTTGAGTGTTACCAGAACGCTTTCGCTGATCAAATTGCCTTTCTGACAAGTTTCAACTTTTATATCGTAAAAGCTATATTTCCATAAATTTCTATCATATCCCTATCTTCCTAGATTTCCTTATTTCTAAATTTCTGCACCCCTAGGTTTTTACGTCGCTAGATTCCTGTATTTCTAGATCCCACATCCCTATTCTCTGACCAAGATCGCTATACAGGATGTTCCAAAAATCGTGGTACGAGTGGTTCACTGATGATTCTGCAAAAAAGTAAGTCAGAGAATAACATTTTTTCGTACGCAATTTCATTTTTGATCAAATTTGACGATTCTTCGAAATATTTGTAAGATAATTTTTGTAACGAAGACAATTACTACAATTCAACAACTAATAAAAATTGCCTTACAAATATGCCGAATAATCTACAAATTCATTTATCTCAAAAACGAAGCTAAATACGAAGTAATGTTATTCCTTCTTTTCAACTTATTTTTGCATGTAAGATCACTAACTCGTTCCAGGATTTTCGGGAAAACTGTATTAAAAATTTCCCGAATTTTCAGTAAAATTTTGGCTGCTATCACAAACGCAAATTACGGAGCAACAGCAAAAGCGTTTACGATTGACGTCCATTTCGATTTATCGATAGAGATGGACGACGGTCGGAGAACCCGATTGTTGCTTGATTATTTTTTTCAATTTTTCTTTAAATGTACTGGATACACGACAATCGGCGTAGAAGCGATGCATCGCACCGTTGAATGATTTTTCCAATGAGAGACGAGTTAAACAAAAAGTTTCTCTTGACCGGCTACGCTACGATTCATTTTCTGTGTCTTGAGTCTTTAAAGAGAATTTGTTTTTTTATGCGTTTTAGTGGTGAGATCCCCGCGGAAGCCCGTGACGCCGACAACACCCGAAGGTAATTGTAATTAGGAATTGAAGGCCGCAAGGAGTCAAGCGCGCAGTTGGTCAGTTAGGCCACGTCTATATGTTAAGTAAGTCGGAATTCAAACTTTTATCGGGACCTACTAACCGACGACGATGCGTATCACTAAAACGTGTCTTGGACAACGGGCATGTTCTCTGAAGGATTTACTAAAAAGGCAACTAACTACTATTCCCTCGAGAAAACGTTACTAACTCTTTCGAACTGCGGATGTCGTGGGTCTAGCTCTTCGGACTTACTAAACTCTCGTGCGCTTCATAAGTCTTTAGATACATTCTGAAAGTTGTCATCCTTCACGTTATTCACGTAGTTATAGGTGGTTCGTAATTCACGAACTGCTCTTAAATTATTCTAACTTTTTTATCTCCTGCAGAAAGTTAGAACTGAAATTTACTGCTATCAATTTTTAAATAAATTTATGTATAACCTGTTAATTTAACGTTTTATATTTAAGTGAATAATTAGAGATTCTTTATTTTTGTACATAGGGAAGTCGCCAAAATTATGAAATTTTACTATTCGAACAATTGATGTACTTATTTTAGAAAGTGCTTTTGGCAGATGGGGTGACGTCTTATTTAAGCATATTGATGCAACAAATGTATAAAGATTTATGTACGTTCTGCACTTTGAAAGTAACTGCACGATAAGTTTGAAAATTGTATACCAAGTATTCCAATAAAATTTGGGAAATAATATTACAAAAGTGTTAAACTATTAAAGATCTTCATGAAATTTTAGGAAAAAAGATATATAAAGAAGTTACAACAATTTTAAGCAATTCCGTGAAGTACGAACCCACTGAAAGATTAAATAAAACTAAAGATACATCATTCATTTAAAACTGCATTACATCACGCATTGAACTGAATTTTTGTTAAAAAATTATTGTCGAAAGATTCATTTCTTAGGATCATGGTAACCGTTTATCGACCGAGTTTATTTATTCTTACCGGTAGCTGATACGAACTAGTTTTATCAACGAACGGTAAATTAGGCATCTTCATAGAAACATTTTTGATATTTCCTCTTAGAGATTAATTTTTCTACGTACAAAATACATGGACTGTAGAAAAGTATTTAATCTGTTTTCTTGTAGCAGCATTTACTCATGGTGGGACATAAACAGATAGTATTTGTGAAAAAAGTGCAGCAAACGAAAGATTTCACAACATACTGGGCAGTAGAATAGTCGAAACAACAAGTTGCGCCGATTCACATTGCCTTGCACATGAAACTGACTTTCACTAACACACATGATTCTATTTCATTTGATTTCTTTTCTGCATGCGTGCCTTTCTTATATCTGTTCTCTTTCGTTCGATGAACTCGCTAAACGTTTATTTTTCTACGTCTCTTGTTTTCCTATCTATCTCTGTTTGTGTGAAATGAAGTTTTTCAATGATACATGTGGATACTTTCGTGTTTTGTCAACCTAAGAACGAGGTTGAGGAACGTGATCCCGACATTGCTCTGACCTGGCATTTTCTTTCGTTTCTCTTTACAGTGGCACCACTATCACCACTGAAAATGGCTGACTACAGACAGGCTTCCCTCGAGGGATTAAATCACGTTTGCAGTAAGAAAATCGACTGGCCCACCGCGACCATACACATCACCGAGAATCCCATATCGGAGGCGGTCGTTTGTTAAATTTCTTGTCGACAAATCCTCACCATTCCCATTGATTGTTCACGAACGACAGACCACGCGAGCACTGAAAATCCACGCGAATCGAACGTTGAGTTTTTAATCCATGGTTTCGTCGGGGCAACGATCAACGACGTGGCTCTAAACGTTTTTTAATCTTCGTTCATCGACTTTTAATTTTAATCGTAATTTTAATTCCGTCGATTCCTTTTTCTCTCTATTTATGAATTTACGTGTTAAGATCTGTGCAAGTTCGAACCAATTGTTTCGAAGGTACAACTTAATTTCCAGCGGTTATTTTAGTTACGATCTGCTTGTTTCGTGTTAGGAATAGTTAAGCTAGCTCCGTAGTTTTTATTTTATGTTTAAGAAGCGTTTTTATCGATCGGATGATACTATACATGTCGAAGCCGTTCGCAAGAAACTTCCAAACGTTCAGCAACAATTCGGAAGACATTCACTTTTAAAACCGACGACAATTCTCGCGATTTCACTCGACGATTTTTACTCTTGTTATCTACGATATCTCTTTGTTCAGCGGAACAGCGTATCTTTTTAAAAATTCAACGAACCCATCGCCGTCATCGACGGCCGTTTTAACAGCTGAAACACACGGGATTACACAAACGTGCAATTATCCTGGACTCGTGAAAAATCCGACAACATTTTCATTCGCATCGGTTAGCGCGGATAACGATTCTCGTACAACGTCGCAAACAACGAAACCACGGTTTTGCGTGGGATGCAAAAGTAACATGAAATCATGGTTGTTACACAACGTACGTAGAATTCGAACGAGAAATGGTATTCAACGTGTTCACCTCTTAATGCGCACGGTATACATTTATCAACGACGATCATAACATTGACCGAACGGTTCGATCGATTCTAAAAGAACGTTTGTGAAAAAAAAGTAAAAAAAAAGAAGAAGAAGAAGTTAAGTTGCAATAGAACACGAATTCGTGTGTGTGTGCAGCACTGCATCGTAGAGAAGCGCGCACTACTGCTTTCCGTGTTCAGAAGAAACGAGAAAACGATGGTAGGTTGCCATAATCGGGTTGTCAAGTTGGTGGAAAGACTTACGCACATCCGAGATACTTATTTGCAAGCTCAGACACAAAACAGCGTGACGTCTTTTTATAAATTTGGACCACAGACTTATATAGATGGGCTACGATGTTAATGAAAACTGAAGGCGACAATGAAGGATAGAGACATATAAGTGTCATGATGGATAAATTATGAAATATAATGCAGTGATTTTATCATTCAAATACACTCATTCTTATTCAAACCTCAAACTTGACTAATAACTTTATCGTTTAAATTTATTTATTTTTGAGCAAATATCAAATCTAGTGTAATCTTTACCTTAAACCGAACCTAACTTCAATTCAATGTTATATTAATAAAAATGAACTATACTAGCACAAGTCGAGCAATCCTAATCTAACCATAATAATCTTATAACCAACCTTATTTATTCCTAACCTAGCTTAAATTAATGCAATCCTAACCTAACCCTATTTAACCCATCGTTCAGATCTATATATTTACATTTAAACTTCAAACTAAACACATAATTTTGCCGTGCATTTGAACTTGTAATCTACCTTTAAACAGGAATAATTGAATTTAAGTGATAAAGTGTACCAGATTGGGTTAGTAGTTTGAATGAGATAAAACGAGAATTGAGTGAGAAATGTTACTACACCATTCATTCTAATTCGTTTAATAATTGTACCGAACAAACTTGTCAATACCGATATTTATCGAGTCGCGCATTAAAAAGAGAGCCAACAACCATGACTATAATCTCTCTCGTTCGTGCGAACTTCAAAGCGTAGTATATCTACATAAGTCTATGATCTGAACCCGTCCAAGGCGCGCCTACTAAAGTTTTCGAACGAAGATCGAATCGCTTGCGTTCATCTCGAATTTGTTACCGATTTCGCGTCGCGATGGATCGATGCTCGGTCGGTAAGGTAGCTCACACGATAATGGAGCAACATCGAACAAGAATCGATAATAGAAATAAAGGAAAGAAGCGACGAGACTAACGAGAAAAAAAGGTAGGTATCGGTATTAGAGTAACCTTCGATGACTTCGCTTGTTCGTTATCATCCACGGAACTTTTGAAGTGGTGAAATGCAAAAAAGCCTAAAAAAAAAGCAATTCGGCTGCGACGAGCGGCCGTTCGTGTTCTCTCGTAGGCCTGCACGTGTGATATGTGCTTCGTGTTAAAGCGGGAAACTCGTACGAGGACGTCGCGCATTATTAAAGTCCTCGGTGATCGAGTTCGAGTCCCGCGAAACGTTTCCTCGACGGCAAACAGGGAGGAACGTTGGTTCATTTGTTTGCGCTCGCGCACCGTTCGCACCCTTTCCTTAGTTCGAGGCGTTTAGACGATACATACATAAATTAGAAGAGTATGCGTGCGTGCGTGCACGGGATACGGAGAAAAAGAAGAAACGAATGTGTTAAGAGTATGTCTGCGAGAGTTACGTAGAGGAAGGAGGGTCGTAGATAGTCGTTAAAAGAAATAAAGAATGCAACAGAGAAAATAAAAAACAAAGGAGTATCTGGTCCGGTACCTCAATACGGTTCTACCAGGCTTCTTAAAGCCTTTAGCGTGATATGATAAGACGTGCCTGCTACATGATGTCGTACGTAGCTTTCGAAAGTTTCAACGCCTTTAGTTTTCTATGCGATTCCCGTACGTCCTGGATTTTCCCTATTTTCGCGCGCCCCTTAACGAAGCGTTAACGCTACATTCATGGTAATAATCGCCACGAAATTGCACGTCGACCCTCGGAACTAAATGTTCGACATTTTTTACATATCTCTACTTCGAACGATCGATCTATTTGTAAATCTCTGCAGACACTTTTCTGTTCGAGGATCCAATGAGAATCGTTCATTTTATTTTTCACGAAATTTCGGTAACAATTTTTGGCAACGTAGTACGGCATTTACGACCATCAATGGCGTGTACTGTGGACATCGGGGTTGCTATGTGGATTTCTTTCGGTTAATGGGCAGATGGATTCGAAAGAAATCGAAATTGAACCTGAAAGTTTCTAAATTTTCAAGTTTACAATTTCTGAATTTCTATCTCTGATTTCTGAATTACATTTGAATACTTTTCTGAACCTTCAAACTTCTATATTGTAAAAATTTCAAAATTAATCTTAAACTTTGAAAATTTCTGTTCTAAATCTTCACTTCTAAATTGTTCTAGACTACATGGTCTAGTACAAAGTTAGTTGACGTTTGATCCTTTGATATCTGTGTTGCCATTTCCCTAAGGAAGTCCATTCACTCCAGCGTACACGAGCAGAGATGATGTTCCCCGCTCGGGGAGCAAGTACGAACGATATTAACCGGAATCAAAGGAGATGCGCGAAAACACGACGAAAGTCACGACAAAAAGGACGTATCGAGGGACGAAAAGGTTTAATCGTTTCGTGTAAAAGAGAGTTTATAAACAGAGCGAATATATTATAGATGTATACCTATGGCGCGTTATTTAGGCCGGCGAATTGAGACAGATAGTAGTCGACAGCTTAGTATTAGAAAATTTCAGGCGATTTCCGATTCGAAAGGATTGAAGGTATGCACGCATTAATCATTGCTAAACGCGAGCGCTATCAGAGTAACGTAGTTTTTAAGGACCACCAATAAATACCTGCATACATACATACACACACATACACATACATGTACACGAATACCAGTACCACAACCATTAATCCCTTCGTTTCCACGTCGCTCTTGGAATTGCATTATAGAAACATTCAAGAACGGATTAGGTCCACGTTCAATAAAAAAAAAAACTCGCATTTTTACCCTTCCATTAATTGTATTTGATTGAACATATCGTGGATAAGTGTGATACCAGTACATTGTACGACCGTTCAACGATCTAATCGTAATCTTTGATCTTTCATTGAAGATTTTCACGAGACGCATATCATTAGTACGAATTAATTTACCAATTCGATTGATTATGACGGTAAAGAAGAAAAAAATCGATGATGGTTTGATCCGAGGAATTCTATGTATATCGTGTCTCTATTTTAATTGAGACGCTAACGGTGATTGAATGTCTATAACGCTCGAAGGGTCGCGAAACTGACGTCGTTGTTGGTTACGAAGGGTTTAAAAGAAATTCATTTGCACACGATCGATCACAAAATCGGTATAAAACGCCACTACAATCTCGCGGGTGGATGTTTCCTTGAGGTGCTATAAAGATTTTTGCCTTCGTTGCAAATCTCCGATCCCTCGCGCAGTATCATCAGATAGATTGTAGCGGAAATATGTTATTGACAACAACTCAAAGTAAAACAAGGTATAGTACAGTAAGCGAAGTAAACTTAGACGGAGCTTGAGTATATATATACATATAAATATACAGGTTAAACAACACGTGCGCACCGAATATACATCTTGTTATTTATAATAAACGAATATAAAAAACGAAAGATCGATTGTTTCATCAAATTTCCTTTCTTATTCATCCTCATCCAGTTCTTTCTCTATTATTATTGAAATTGAGATTAAATATATTCAAGTCTTGCTATATGGCCGGCGGTGTAGAATTTGTGAAACGTGTCAAATACACTTCTTTCGTTTAATCAGAGTCTTGATGCTAGAGATTCCTGAATTTTTAATTTTCAAGCTTGAAAAATTTCCAAATTTCTGAACTCAACTTTTTAATTTCTCAAAACTATAAATTTGAAATTTTCAAATCAGGAAATATCAAGGGTGGTAATGTTTATTTGACAATATTTGGATTTTAAGTTGTATAAAACATTTTACAAATACTACTGAATTGAAGTATGTGATGTGTTTTTTTAATAGCATGGTTTTTGTGATAACATACTGTGTAAAACTTGTGAAGTATGTTTTACACTGACGCAAAGAACGTAAACAGCTTTTTGTTACGTACACGTTACTGTCGTATATCTTTGACAATAAACATATTCCTTTAAGAATCTTTCATGAAAGAAAAAGTGGTGAAAGAACGCATGCCATGGATCCCGGATCTCATCTGGCAACCGACGCGTCAGAATGTTCTGGTGTCATTTGAAGCAAGAAAAAATTATAGAAAAGGAAATTTATAATATTTGCATTTACTTATGCATTTATTAACTATTACGGTAGTGATGGAGTTAATCAGTTGTTAATTCGAAATATGAATTGCACAATAATTCAAGCCATCAGTTACTAATTTGAGGTAGTGATGGAGTTAATCAGTTGTTATTTCAAAACATGAATTGTACAATAATTCCAGCCAATAATTCATCAATTGCTAATTTGATGTGTAATATTAATCAGTAACTGGTCATTTTTTATTTAAAATTGATGGAGTTGATATTTGTATAAGTAGTATTGAAACTTATGAATATACAACTTTCAGTAAATACATCAATCTTTAAATGTACCTTAGAGTCTCCCCATCGCCATCTTGTCAAAATACTTATTAATACTAAATTGATCATACATGTAAGTATATAGCACTTATTCATCAAATTCTATTATCTACAAAACTAATATAAATTTCCTTTATTACAATAACCAAGTGAAGAATATAAAAATTTAATCGTAACCAATTTGTTTAAAAAAGTGAAGAACTAACTTGCGTGATTGTACTAACGCAAAGTACTTTACTAAAAAAGTTATCCAATTAAATATCAAATATTCCTTTTTCAATGGGACCCTCATTTTCTTTCTTGCTTCTTACAACTTTTCAGTTGTAGTTTTTCTCGCAGGTACTCAAGTGACGTGTACGCACGTACTCTAAGTGCGTGCCTTGGCGACGAGAAACCAGTCCCTCGATGATTTTTGCGGTGATCAAACGACTACTGTGTTCAAGGAATCGACGAGGGTCGTATATACTACGTTTTATCAGGACAATGACCCTATGGATTTTGATCTTGATTAATCATACTATGCTTAAAGCGATTAAAGGATCACACGTGCATCATATGTCGGATCATAGTTTTATCAGCTTAACATGGAATTTCTGGAACCATTCTACATAAAGGTTTGATATTAAATACACATATTTATATAAAAGTGACTGTGTAAACATCTAATGAAACCTGATCTAGTGAACGCTAATTATTATTTACCGTTTAAAAGCAATTAAGATTATTCCACAACCTGATCATAAATCGTAGTTTATTACTCGTAATTCATGAGCAATGATCAGGTTTTTAATCTTAATTAGTTTATGTAAATAATAAGCGTGTTCGGTTTGAAAGGTGTAAAAGAAAATTAAGGAGCTGTTCAAAACTTTGATGACTGCCATGATTATTATTGTGGAATATAATCAATTGGTTCTAGACTAAATTGGGTTGCTTAAAATGACTTTAATTTTGTATATCACATGGTAGTTTGAAACAGGAAGAAATAAGAACGAGGTGGAGGAGCAAGTATTTTCCGAGACTCGTAGAAGAGACATTTTTTAAAAGTTTTTTAAAACGCACACAACCATATAATAAATAACATAAAGATATTTATGACATAGATTTATCTGTTCAGTTATATTTATTTAATACTTTATGAACAATAACTGTGGCGCCTCTCTTCTGGAATTATTTCAAATATGTTAGACTACACTGACAGGTTAAATATTAATCTTGTCAGGTGTTAAACATTAGAAGTTTAGATATAATTCATATACATTCATCTATATTGTACTTTTAGTTTATCTAAACTTTTCCAACTGACAAATGAAATATTTGTTCTAAAATTATCATTTTGCAAATGTCTTGTACTTTTTCAAAAATTAGTGTTGTTTTAGTTAGACATTTGAATATATAGTTCAGGTAAATTCTATATTGTACTTTCGTTGGTACTTATTTAACTTTTTATAAACAATAAGCAAAATGTATTTTTTTGCACTTTATCCTATTGCAAATATGTAGCACTTTTTTAAAGGAAGTAAAAATTAGTGTTGTTTTAGTTAAACGTTTAAATACATAGTTCAGAAAAATTCTATATTGTACTTTCGTTGGTACTTATTTAACTTTTTATAAACAATAAGCAAAATGTATTTTCTTGCACTTTACCCAATTGCAAATATGTAGCACTTTTTTAAAGGAAGTAAAAATTAGTGTTCTTTTAGTTAAATGTTTAAATATATAGTTTAACTAGTATTGTACTTTTTTAATATTGTATAAATAATACAAAAAGAATATGCTTTTCTTTCAAAATTGCAAATGTGCCACGCTACCAATAAACAAAGTATAGTGTTTGTTTATGCTGGAACATATTCCGCACAGTTCGTCCGTTCGTGCCTCATCGTGAGAGTTCGTGCATGTTCGTCGGGCCCAGTAAAACCGCCACCTGCTGTCGTCGAACGGAATCACGAGCCGTCTTTGAGAAGGCGCGCGTATTCTTGACTCGGCCAGCGTGGGAGTAAGGCTGTCCACGAGAGACGCCTGGGAAGGTGGTCGATCAAACGCCTTCTTACGTTAACTCCAACAATTTTCGTGCGGTACCATTTTCGAACGATCGATCCGTGAACGCGTGCTTTCATCGGACGAATCGCGAGTGAGTTTTTGACGAATCCGTGAGTGAAGATCCGTGCTCCTGTCACGCGGTTCGACGAAACCGGCGATTGTTGCGAATCACAGTGAAAACGTACACGCGCTTCGTGTCTCGTTCCTGCTGATTTTCATCCGTAATCGGAATCGAGGAATTCGCGGAACTCGAACGCCGTCGCGATACGATGTAGACTTGGTGAACTGACGTAGTAAATATCTGACACGAAAATTGCGGCGAAATTTTAACGGTAGGCGTAGCACGATTCAGTGACACTTGCGGCTCGATGCGACACTCGACACGTTCGTATCGTGTTGTTGTTGTTGTTGCTCGTTCGGGAGGCCGTATGAAAAATTCGGAGTGAAATTAAAGTGCGGGGTATTATTCGGTGTGCAGTGCCAGTGCAGTGGATATGAGTCGATCTTTGTTGTGAGGGTGCCAGAGGAATTTTCCCGGATTTCTAAGGCCCTGAATAAAAGATGGGACCAGCCAAGATCCTCGGAGTTTACGTTCTCTTCATGCTGGTGTACGTCGGCAAGACGGACGTCATCGAAGAAAGAGGTTTGTCTGCTGTTTATTTCTTTTTCAATTCACCAAATTAACCGCGGTTAATCGATTACGTTCAAAATAGCCCGCTACTGTTCGCCGATATGGCGTGTAGTTATCGCCCATCGTAATTCGATTATCGAATTCGTAACTTTCGTACCTTCCATTAATTTGTATTCATGGAAGATGTCAAATGATGTAATTTTTTATGGAAGTAAACTCAAATCTTTTACAGTCGTTCTATAATTTTTAATCGTAAATCTTGACAAATACTTTTTGCTACAGTATGGTTCATTTTTCTCTGTTTATGTAATTCGATCGAATTCTATGAATCCAGAGAGAAAGTGCAATGAAGTTACACCATCTAATTAGAAAAGTATCAAACGATACATCCTGACACTTCACTATTGTGTAACAGTACATTTATCTATTTATTGTTCAAACTTCGCTTCTTAAAACTTATAAATTTTTGCGTCCATTTTCGTCTTAACTTTAATATCAGAAACGCAACCTGTTTGAACACCCCGTTTTGTGCAATCATTCGCACAGTCACGAATGTACTTAAAATCTTCAGAAATCGAAACGTTTCACCTGTAATCGTTATCAAAGTAAAAACAAGAAATTCTCTATCTCGCAATCAGTAAAGCAGACGTTAATACCTTTCAGGTGAACAGATAAGCAATGATTCTGCTCCGTTTCCGAAGATAAAATCTCTATGCTTTCCGATCAACGTGTACGATTCTAATTATAATACTAGAGAAGATGAATCATGCGCATATTCATGCATTTATGACTTGTAGAGATACGTTAAATGTTTACGTTTGTGTATAATAAAATGGAGCACAGTGCTGATCAAGAACGAAAGTCGTACTCAATAATACTTTTGAGAATTTATCTGGGTGTAAAAGTTTCTTTTTTATAATTATACTAATTCACTGTTCAAAATTTAGGTAATTTGGGTCTTTTGGTTAGGTTAGGTATTTGTAATTTACACATTTTTTGTTTTAAGAAATTTTTTACAAGTTATTCTTAAATTTTAATTTTAGTGAACTAATTAGATACAGACAAATATTGTTCTTGTCTTGTAAAAATATCACAAAGCAAAATACTCTGAAACTTCACTCAGATTATTATATTAAATTAACATATTTTCAGAACAAAAATTTTAGGACATTTACAACAATTTAGAACAAATATTAAATCTTGAGTATATATCTGATTACTAATTATCCATATAACAATTAACCAAATGTTTATACGAAACAAATTATAAATTAAATCGAGAAAAATAAAAAAAAATTATCCATATAAGAATTAAAAAGCAGAGCCCAAATTGTATAAGTAATTGTGTAGTAGCGCTCTCAGTGAACCAATCAAGATTTTC